CGCCACAGGGGGGTGCGCAGGGGGTGCGGTCGCAATCCGTCGTATGTTCGCAAAGCGTGGCCGGCGTGCACCTACTCGACACCACAGGGAAGTGCGCAGGAGGTGCGCTCGCTATCCGTCGCACCCTCGCACAGCGTGTCAGGCGTGGATGTTTCTCGATGCCATAGTGGGTGCGCTGGGGGTGCGGTCGCTATCCGTCGTACGCTCGCAAAGTGTTGCAGGCGTGACAGTTTCTCGATGGCAGTGTGGTAGGCGTGACGACGAATGACGACGAGTACGACGACGACGAGCATGACGAGTACGACGCCGACTACGACGAGGACGACAACGACGACGAATGCAACGACGAATGCAACGATGGTATGTGAACACACGCGACGTAAAATCCGCCGATCCGGCGTGTGAGTTTTAGAAGTCTAAGCTTAAACTCTGCTTCAGCATGAGCTTTAGCTAGCTCTGCTTGGGAGGGGGAGAGGGGGGGGAACGTAATTAACTGACGAATTCAGTGCTCGGCACCTCCCCCGCCCTGCCAGCTCCCAGGAGAGGGGGGGGGGCAGGAGAGAGGGGGGGGGAGAGGGGGGGAGGGACAGGAGAGAGGGGGGGGGGGGAAAGGAGAGAGGCGGTGTGTGTGTGTGTGTGTGTGTGTGGGGGGGGGGGGGACAGGAGAGAGAGGGAGGGGGGGGGGGGGGGCAGGAGGGGAGGGGGGGGGACAGGAGAGAGGGGGGGGGAGAGGGGGGGGGTGGACAGGAGAGAGGGGAGGGGGACAGGAGAGAGGTGGGGGGGGGGAAAGGAGACAGGGGGGGGGGGGGACAGGAGAGAGGGGGGGGGGGGACAGGGAGATGGGGGGGGGGGGAACAGGAGAGAGGGGCGGGGGGACAGGGGGGGGGGACAGGAGAGAAGGGGGGGGGACAGGAGAGAGGGGGGGGGAGGGAAAGGAGAGAGGGGCGGGGGGGGAGAGGGGGGGGGTGGACAGGAGAGAGAGGGGGGGGGACAGGAGAGAGGGGGGGGGAGGGAAAGCAGAGAGGGGGGGGGACAGGAGAGAGGGAAGGGGGGACAGGAGAGAGGAAGGGAGGTGGGGGGGGGGTCCGGATCATCATCATCTCCATCACCATCACCATCGTCACACCACCATCATCATCATCACCACCATCATCATCATCATCCTCATCATCATCATCACCATCACCATCATCATCATCGTCATCATCATCATCGTCATCGTCATCATCATCATCATCGTCATTACCATCATCATTATCCATCATCGTCATCCATCATCATCATAAACATCATCGTCATCATCATCGTCATCATCATCATCATCACCATCACCATCACCCTCACCCTCACCCTCACCCTCACCCTCACCCTCACCCTCACCATCACCATCACCATCACCATCACCATCACCATCACCATCATCATCATCATCATCATCATCATCATCATCATCATCATCATCATCATCATCATCATAATCATCATCATCACCATCATCATCATCATCATCATCATCATCATCATCATCATCATCATCATCATCATCATCATCATCATCCGGAGCGCCCCAGATCGGCGGCACTGGCCGGAGGCCACTACAATAAGTATGTGGGGTTCCTCGGTAGTGTAATCTCTTCTCCTACCGACACTTCGCGCGCGTTCAGCTCCGGCCGTGCGGGCGCCCGATGCGCTGGCGAATCACCGCGCTGTCACAACCGAACAAATATTGTTTGTTTGTTTGTTTGTTTGTTCGTTTGAGAGAGAGAGAGAGAGAGAGAGGTAGAGTGAAAAGAGAGAGGGAGAGAGAGAGAGAGAGAGAGAGGGAGTGGTGTGTGTGTGTGTGCGTGTGTGCGTGTGTGTGTGTGTGTGTGTGTGTGTGTGTGTGTGTGCGTGTGCGTGTGCGTGTGCGTGTGCGTGTGTGTGTGTGTGTGTGTGTGTGTGTGTGTGTGTGTGTGTGTGTGTGTGCGTGCGTGTGGTTGCCTCGGGGCTACGACGCGCATTCCGCCAAGCCTCCCGCCAACCTCGTCAAGCATATCAGCGACATCAGGGGTGTCCTGGAGACCCCATGCGTGTGGAAAGACTTCCTCGACCATGCTACGCCGCGCGGGAAACCCTTCCTGCACAATGACACCGACTTAGTGGAGCCTCTCCTGCTGGAAGCGTTCAACAATGCATCCGACCAAGGCGGCTCCAGGGTTGGCGCCACGATGACCACGAGGAGAAACGAACCTTTGCGGCGGAGCTCATCGGCACCAAGAGGGCGTCCAGTCCCCTCAATGGGGGCTGTCGCACCCGCTGCCAGCCCCAAGGCCGTGGGCGCGCCTCCGCGCTCCAGCGCCATCATCGGCACTGGCAACACGTCTACAGCGCCTCCTTCCCGCGGCAGGCCCTCTGGCGCTCACCAACTCGTCTCCACGCGGTTCCCCAATACTGTGGATTTCACTTGGGGCCGCTCGGTGCTTCGGCTCCCATCCAGGCCGCTCCACGGCCACTACTCCCGACGAAACCGTCCTGGCACCAGGAGGCACCCGGGCTGGCCACGACTGCAGCGCCATCGGCACCCCTAGCCAGCCCAACGCCCAGGACGCGAGGGGCGATCTACCAAGGGCTCCCGCGCCCCGCCGCGCGCACACCGCCAACCGCTCGCGCTCCGCTGCCCCTACTGATGACGCCTCTCCTTGTCCTCCGCGCGCTCCGTCCACTGGACGGAGGCCCACTTTTCAGTCTGCGCGGGGCCGTCAAGCCCACCCTTACCGCCGCTCCTCCGCCCCGGGCCCGGCGCCGTGCCCGAGCCCCCTGCCCCCGCCCCCGCCGCCTCCCTCCCTCGCCCCTGGGGGTTTGCCCAGGGTCGCCCCGGCTGCAGGCACGGGGATCAGACCAGAAGTCACTGCAGCCCCTGCTCCTGCCTGCTCCTGCTCCTGCCATCCCCCGCGCCGCGTCTGCTGACCGCACTCACGCCAGCGCGCCTCCGCGCGCCCCGTCTCGTCCCCCCCGCACGCGCCTTGCCGCCGGCATACCTGGCACCTCCTCGGGATCCGCAGGCGACACTGAGGGCGCTCAGATGTAAACGGCTCCTGGCCAACAAAGTCGCGCTCCACTGCCGCGGCCACCCCCCCCATGCTGACCGCTTTATCGTGATCGAACGGCGCACGTGGGCGGGATGCTGGCCCAAGGGCGGGCCGAACATCGACGGCACCAACGATCCGTCGCCACGCGCCCACTCCTGTACGGAGCTCGAGGCGTTCTTCGCCTCCCTCGACTTCACCCTGCTGGCTGGCCACTCTCCCCCACGTGACCCACGGGCGGAGGGCGCGGCCCCCGACGAGGAGGGACCTACCCTAAGGAGGCGGCCCGCCTCCCGCCCCTACTACCAGCACCAGTCGCGGAAGCAGCGGTGACTCCCGCTGCGGCCCCCCTGCCTTCCTAGGCACCGGCGTTCCCTGCTACGGAGCCAGCTCTTGATATCATTGACAGCTTCCCACATTGGGCCACCGCCCACTCCCGTGCCCCACTGGGCCTAGCCAGGATGCCTTGGCTCCCACTGCACCCTGGCCCTGGGGGGTAGTGCGCTTCCGCTACTCACCAATGGGCCCTGCTGGGAGCCCCCGGGATCCCTCCCGTGGCCCCTGTCCTCGCAGGACGGGCCCCTGCCCCCACGGGATCGATTGGGACGTCGGGCTCCCCCTTTTTTTCAGTTCCGGGCCTCACCTTTCGCAGCGGCCAGCTCTGCCTCGGGTGGTGCACAGCCTTCCTCCCAGGACCCACAAAGCCTCGTCCTCAATTCACCCCCCCTTGCCTGAAGCAGCGCGGCCTCCTCGGTCCCGTCCCAGCTGGGACTGCCCGCTGCGGCCCCTGCGCTGCCGCTGCGGTCCTGGGCCGCTTCATCGCTCTCTGCCTTCTGTCCGCCTGAGCTTCCCTCTCCCTTCCCTCTCTCCTCCCCCCTCTTCCTGCCCGCCCCCCCTTCTTGGGGGGGCCGGCCCGGGCCGCTCCCTTAGGGGCCGCCCTCTCGGCCGCCGCCGTTTCCAGCGCGCCGCCCAACTCCGTCAGCTTTCGCGGCTCCTTCGGCCTGTAACTTTTTACGGCTCCGCCGCCTTCAGCTCGCTCCCCTGGTCGCTCCTTGACGCACTCCCTTGTCGGTCCACACTGGCTTACTCGCTCTCCCCGCCTTTCATTTCAGGTTGGCTTGTGTCACCTTCCACCCTCACCGTAATTTCGTCTACTCATCGCTCCCGCCCGCCATCCAAGCTCGGATGGTTTGTGGCTGCTGCCGGCTGCGAGACCCTAAGCGGTCTCTGAGAGCTCGGCCGGGCGTAAATGCGCGCGCTCCACTGCCTGCGCTCGACTTTCTACGACCCGTCGCCGCGCGCGGGGCCGCGACGCCAGCAAAACAAGTGTGTGTGTGTGTGTGTGTGTGTCTGTGTGTGTGTGTGTGTGTTTGTGTGGGCGTGCCCGCCAGCTAACCGACCGCGTTGGCGTGTGCCTTCGCCGCTGATCCATAACTGTGCGTGCTTTCCTCTGCCGCCCGAACACACACTCGTGTACTTCAACATTGGCGCGTACGCCCCTCACGCCCACAACATTGAGGGAATGGCCACGGCGAGCCCGCACTCGCACACACCAATGCACATCCCAAGGCTGCATCTAGGAGATCTGACAGACCGCAAAGCTCAGGACATCAAATACGCCATCTTCAATGAAACAGAGGTTGCCGTCGTGCACTCTCGACTGTTCGCTTGCCCAGATTGCGCCGCTGTATTGCCATGTCGCTCATTCTGAGTAAGGGTCGCAGCACACGTAGCTTCAATTGCATGGCCTCTGCGGTCACAATCGCGGTGGTCGTGGCTGCGAGGGCCGTGTCAGGCAGCTGCTGGCCCCTGCATCGTCGTCATCCTCGGCACTGCGTTAACCTCCTCCGCGCCGTCGTGGCTACCCTAGTCATTGCGTTTGGCTTCGACCTCGTCGTCCTCCTTCTCTTTCGCATTGCTTCTCCTCCTGCTCCTCCTCCTTTGCAAGCCGCGACATCAAATCCGAAAGCACAATGCTGCAAATCCTGCCCAGCATGGTTGCGACACCGCCTCTCGCGCGAGATCGGCAGGTCGTGGCGAGGCGCCAGGCGGTAAGCTACCCCCCCCAGTGTGGCTCTTTCGACAGCCACGGCGCAACCTCGCGTGATGCAACCTAGATGCAGATAATTGGGAACGTCCGTGGCTACTTCAAACGGCAGCCCAGCTCCCGCGGCTACTCTGCAGCCCCTCAGCCCACCGTACAGATTTGATCCCAAAGCTGGCGTTCCAATGGCAAGCTGTGCGCCACCCAGCCTCACGCTATTTAAACCTTGCCTTTTTCTTCCACCGCTGCTTCGAATTCAACGTGTCGTCGTTTTTTTTTTTTTTGTTCTCTCTCTCTCTCTCTTTCGTTATCCCTTCCTGGGCTGTTTGCAGACAGAGCATACAGCATGCGTGAAACTGCTGGTGTTGTGTTGGACTGCGGCCGTCCAAACAACATCGCAACAACTTCACACGAATCTGCCGCTTCACTTTCTGACTCTCCACCTATGCCCGAAAACATGACTGTGTCTATACGTCTGTCTCTCAACCGCTCTTTTGCCTGAACATGTCCGTTCCACGGCTGACTGTCTGTGCGTCTGTCGCTGTCGCCATTTCTGCATCGGTTTGAATCGCTTTGCTGAAATGAGCTGCTCCTTCCAACCATTGATACATACCAGCTCCAATGCCTTTGCCAACACTGCCTCCCTCATATCGGCGCAGACGTCGCACCTCCCTCAGGCTTCAGTGGCTGCTGAACGCGAGGCCTTCAAACAATCCGAACAACTGCAACATTCATGGAGCCCCGCCTGGAAAATGCGAGGACGCCTCCAACGTCTCCTTGGACGTGGAGCGATCAGAGCTCCAATTCAATCTTACACGGACGATGCGGGAGACTCTTCTAGCAAACTTCATCCGTTCCGGACAGCCCGGTCAGGATGCAGAGGGTTGCACCTCACCTGAAGGGCCCACGCGCCTGATCATCCCATAATCTTACCAATCGGCGACCTACTCCCGAACCCCCAGTGGGCGCCTTCCCCTTGTTCACTGCTCGCATGGAGTCGAAGTCGGTGGCTCGAACTGGGTATGCAATCCGAGGGTGTCTAGCTCGACCTGGGCGCACAGTTGCAAGCAACTACTTGTCGGTGCCAGACGAGGCCAACCACAGCTTAGACGCCTCAACCTTTCTAAGCCAAATGCGACGCTCATTGGAATTGTAATGTCTTATCGGGAACTTTCGGCGGTAAGCAGTTGTGAGGGGTAGCGCGGCCCTGGAAATGCCGCTATGCGTCACCCCTCCAGTATATTCCTCTTCGGCTCCTGCCATAATGCCTCTCCGATGATCATCGGGTCTCGAGGGATCCACCGCTTGGTTCCAGCAGCCGACGGTGGCTTTTATAACACGATGCACATGCTGGCGTGCAGGAGAAAGGGAAGAGGGGGAGATGGAGGATGATACATGAGAAGGGGGCACGGTGCAACGAGCCAGGATGGTCGACCGTATCTTGGCACTGCTGGTGCTCTGGATTGCACCGCCTGGCAACTGCCGCTGACGTGCTGCCACCAAAAGACTCCTTTTCCAAGAATTCTGATTGACTTTGCTGGCAAGAGAAATAGACGAAACAATGAGCACGGAATGAAATGCGATTGCCTTCGATGTCCATTGGGGTTGTATTCCCGTTGTTCACGGTGATGTGCCGTGAATGATGCAGCCCCATCCCCACCGCCATAGAGGGTCCACGCGCATCGACGGCGAGTGCTCAAGCTACAGGTATCCAAGAAGCCAACTAAATACAGCCTGTAAGCCAGCTAGAGGCAATCGAAAGGCAACCTACACACAAGCGGGAAGCAAGCTCAATCAACTCCAAGCAACACGAGAGTATGCTTAACAGGGCAAGCTACACGAGAACAATGTGCATGCTGATGGCGGGAATGACACAATGGCAGGTGAACAGCACTGCGGTCAGCCAGCTAAACACAATTTCTGGGCAAACTTTAGCACACCTATTCGCAGGGCAAAAGACCATAGAGGCATGCTCGTTGCACGCTAAACAACGAAACTTATACATATATATATATATATATGTATATGTATGTATGCATGTATGTATAATCTGTACTAGAACCATCGCGCGCGCTTCGCGCGCGCTCAAGTTCTAGCTAGGCTTGATGGGCTAAATTATGGAACCTCATTTTTGTCGCTTCTTGTATCCAGAGACTCTCTTGGAAGCCCTGCGAAAACCTCGGAACCGTATTGGATAGGGAACTGCGGAAACGCGGAAATCATTAATTTCCGTTAGGTATTCAACGATTCGGGGCCCTCAAAGGCTTCCTGGTTTCTTTTTTGGGAGCAGAGGGGGGCTTTAATTGTGGTCAGTTGTGCAAGAAAAGACAAGGGGCGAACTTGGGAAACAAAAATTGTGGGATTTCCATTTTTTCCAGTTGCCGTGCCTGGGCTGTGGGTTAGAATTTTTCGGGATACAGGCCACGGTCCGTTGGGATGCCTCTCGGGATCTTCGTGCAAAAACAAGCATGTTGTCAGTTTGAAATAGAAGGAATCTTTTCAACTCATGGGATCATGGGATCTCGATTTCTACGGTGGTTTCAGGGGCAGCCAAAAAGACGCGAAGACGATCCAAGAGAGTGCCAAGACAGAGTCAGAGAGTTCAGCAATATTCCCGAAACATCTTTGCATGTGACTCCGAAGTCTTGATGGGGCTCGAGGAAGAGGATAGGGAGTAGGAGTCCCAACTTGAAACAAACAAAATTCATCTCTGGAATTCCCTGTTTTCAAATTCCTCGGTCTTTGAGCGCTGGAAGCGGGAAAACATGAGAAAGCGAAAAACGTCAACCAAAACCTTTGGAAATCGACGATTTTACCCTCGTCGGGCTCTCTCGGGACGGTTCCCGAAGCTCTCTTAGGCTGTTTTTGGGGCCTCGTCGGGACTTTTTTGGGGGCCTCTCAAGGGTCTGGGGTGCCTCTGGGGGGTCCCGGAGTCCTCTCGGAGGTCTCTGGAGGCCTCCTGCTCCGGCTCTTGGGCTCATCTTGGGCCTGTTCTGGGGTGGTCTGGAGCTGTCCTGGGCGCCTCTTCGGCAGTCTTGGGGCCGTCTTGGCCTGTCTTGGAACTGTCTTGGGAACCTCTTGGGCGGTCTTGGGGGCCTCTTCGGCCGTGTTGGAGCGTTGGAAGCATGAAATGGTGAGAACGGCAAAACACCATTCAATTGAACAAAACAATGAGAATTAGCGACTGTAGGTTCTCCGGGCGCTCTCGAGAGGCCTCTCGGAGCTCTCCTGAAGTCTCTTGGAAGCCTCCTGGGAGCCTGGAGAGCCGCCCGAAAGCTATCCTGGGTTACTTGGGGGCATCTTGGGCCGTTCTTCCCGTTCTGGGGGCTTCTTGGGGACGCCTTGGGCTCTCTTTGGGCGATTTGGGGGCTCCCCGGGAGGCCGGGAAGCGCGGTCGGTGCCGGGAGCGTAATCTAGATGTGATCGGGGTGGTCAAATTCTAGCTAGGCTTGATTGGCTAAATCATGAAATATCATACTTGTCGCTTCTTGCATCCACGGACTTTCTTGGAGGCCCTGCGCAAGTCTCGTAACCGTATAGGAAGGGAAATGCGGAAACGCGGAAATCATTAGTTTCCGTTGGGTATTCAACGATTTGAGGCGCTCGAAGGCTTCCTGGTTTCTTTTCTGGGAGCTGAGAGGGGGCCTTACTTGGTCTGTTGTGCAAGAGTAGACAGGGGGCGAACTTGGAAAAACAAATGAGTTTTTTTTTTTTTGGGGGGGGGGGGTAGTTTTGTCTGCCAGCAACTGCAAGAGACGGAGCACATGCAGGGATCCTGCCGTCGAGGCCGCCACAGGCACAGGCGCGCTCAAGTCCGAGGGGCGTTGAAGCCCTCGAACAAAATTACCAAATCTGTTTCCGAATGTGCTGAGCAAGCTGGCAACGCCGAAATTCTAGAGAAACTTGTTTCCCCAAGGTTTTCTGTGTGACCTCAGCGGAAGCGCGAACCTCGGCATTATGAAACAAACGTGCGAGGGCCATGCAAAACTTGCGCAGGTACTCGGCCCCCTGTCTTGCTTTGAAACCGCCTGGGGGCAGGAAGCCCTGGAACTGCTGATGGGGCCGATGGGTTCGCGAATAAACACCCCGTCTGGGGCCTATGCAACGAGAATCCCTGAAAAAGGACCAGGGTCGAGGTCCCCAAACATCAGACGCCACTGCGCACCCCGCTGACACATTGACGTGACGTGAAAGCACGCAGCGCGACGGCGCAGCAGAGCCTTAAAGCGAGGGAGCAACCATAACCTAAATGTCTTAGGGTTCTCGATACTCCAAGGGATTCGCAAATTCAGACTGACGCACGCAAGAGTGGCAACACAAGTGTTCATAACATTGGACACATCGACGATCGCTTGCAAGTGAGGTTTAATCGCAAGGAAACCGAAGAGGTGGAGATCAGAGCGAACAGGAGGAGCCCCGACACCGTGGTCGCGACACCTCGTCGAAGTGTTGCAAGGAACGCCAGTGTGCCAACCTCTGGCACGCGCCCAGGACAATATCAAATATCGATTGCAAGGACGCGAGAGGTCATACTTCTCTCCCAGCGTGGTGTCCCACATTAGAACAGGTAGGCCTAACTGGGCAACAGCTCTAGCCAAACCTCCTTTTCCCTGAAAAGAGATCCAACATCACTGGCGGGTCGGGCAGACTGGCGCCGCAGGCGAGGGCAGGCCGTGGCGCGACTGGCTCAGGAGACGCGCGCAGGCCTCGGCGTGCCTGCGCTGGGCGGCTTGCAGCTTGTGGAGCTGCTCTGTCAGCCGCCCTCCCTGTTCGTACCTGCGCACAGAGCTCCGCGACTTCCAGCGGCCCCGGCGGCGGATCTGCTCGAGGTCGCGCAGCCCAGCGGCGTGGTCGTGGCTGGGCCCTGAGTGGCGGAGCTGGTGCACGTGGCGCGCTCCCAGCTTTGCCGAGCCCAGCGCGCGGACGGCCTTCCTCCAGGCGTTGGCGACCTGCAGCTGCGATGCCGCAGAGAGAGGCGCCCAAGGCGGGGCACCTCCGCTGCCGCGGGCCGTCGCCATCGCCAAGAGGCCCTGGCCGAGCCCTGCCTGCCTCTCGAGGTCGAGCCTCACGGACGCGTCGAACTCCCCCGTCTTCGAGACCTCCCCGACCTCCTGCGCGTGCAGCGTCGCGGAAAGGAAACGGTGGGCCCCTGACGCCGAGGGAGTCGGTGGCACGAGGTCTTGCAGTCGCAGACTGTGGATCTCTCCTGGGCGGCCGTAGATGTCGGAGAAGAACCAGATCGCGTGCGCCTCCAGCGTGCTGCGCTGATGGGATAAGTAACTCACGATCAAAGCGACGACCTCGTAGGGCAGCGCCATGCGGCTGCGCGGCGGCGCCAGGTTGCGCCGCCCCTTGGCGGCCTGCTTGGCGAGCGGCAAGTCGTCAGGGCCCGTCTTGGCAAAGCGAGGGTCGCGCCGCGCTATGGCCGCGATCGCGCAGTTGGCGTAGGTCTGGTGGTGGCCCTTCTCGAACGGCGCGCTGATGTAGTCCCGCGCAGCGCAGTCCATCCTCATCGGATCGGTGGTCATCTCGCACCCCGCAGCCTGCTGGTGTTCTCCTGCCGGCCCGCGGCCTTCCTCGCTGACGCGGCGTTCAGCGCCGGCGTCCCTCTTGCCCGCTCGATCAGCCTTGCCTCTCCTGAGGCGTGGGCTGCGCGCTCGAGCCCGGGCGGCTCGCGGATGGTGCCCGGAGCACTGGCGAGCCCACCGCTGGCAACGAGGGCCCGCGGGCTGAGCGCCCCAGCGTTGGCGACGACGCCTCCGCGCCCAGGGCCGCGGAAGGCCGCTTGCGCGGAGAGCCCTGGGGGAGCGCCGATGCCATGTCTATCTGGGCCGTTCCGGCGACCAGGAGGAGGGCTATCAGCAACATCTGGAAATATATGGGGAACATTTGGGTTGCGATGAGGCTGGCGGCAAGAAGCAGGGCTGACTCCCAAGACACCATGGTGCTCGCCCAACTCCAAGACGGGCCTCGAAACGGGCTCTTCAGTCTCCCCCCGGCGTGGTGCTTGCCGGGGCCCGTGGGGTGCCTCCCGTGCGTGTAGTCGTGCTCCCCCTCCTCGCTGTTCCTGATCGTGCGGTGCGTGATGCTCACCTCCACCTCCTCCCTGTGCAACGGGTGCTCTATGACGTCGTGCGCGTGCGGCGTAGTCTTCTGCCAGGGGTTCCTCGAGGGCTCGTTCTCGGAAGACTTTGCGGGACCTCCCTTCAATGCAATTGCACACGGCAGGGCGGGGGCCCCCTCGGCCCCGTGACGGGTCATCTGCCACATTGTACTCGGGCGGTTCTAATGCAGAACCGACTCCCAGTCGCTCAGGGAAGTGCCCCAATGCGGCGCATGATTCCCAACGTAGCGTGGCTGTGGGCTCGCGTCCTCGAAGCAGCCGAGACCGAAGACAACGAGTCGCCCAAGACGAGCGACCGCTTCCCATGGTTCCGAGCGGCCCGAAGGGCATGGCGAACTTGATAGAGAACGGCGCGAGCCTCGAGGACAGGCATCCCTTCAAGACGGTCCCATTTCCGACGACCAGTGATAGTCCACTGCGCATTATCAAAGCATTTATTGGGTACTTCTGGGAACGAAAGCAAATCCCGCTCCACTGGCGGGCCGACGGCCTGCTGATCGCCTGACTGACAGGCGGGGTCGCGCAAGTCCGCGCAGATCCCCGGGCCGCGGGCTGCGGCGCCGTCGGCAAACAACGCGGCGGCGTGGGCGCGGCGACGAGGAGGCAAGCGCTCAGCCCTGCCATGGCGCCACCTTTCACTATAGCGACCAGCCTCCCGAACGGCGCCCGCCTTCCCGTCGGCAGGGCAGGCGCCCAACGCCCAAGGGGGGGCGTCAACGCAGCCGACGGAAGGCGACCACTGAGCCTGGAGGTCGCGCCAGCGCAGAAGGGGCGACGCCATCCCAGGCCGTGAGCTCCTGCCTAACCTGAGAC